TGAATCAGTTTGACTGGATGATCTGGTGAACTGTAAAGTGCCTTGAGATTACTTAATTAAATTGAAAATGATTTTAGCTGCTCTGTTGGGCTCTAAAATCCACAAACAAATGCAGTGCGGTTCAAAGACAATTAATAGCTTATAAATAAAGATTAATGTATGCATTGGAAATAATTTTCTGAATCTTATGAATATATAAATATTATGAGCTTGTTTGAAACATTACGTGTACGTGTGGATCACATATGTGAGTTTGTGAATATTGAGACTGATTTAGCTCCATATAAAACTGCTTAAATATTTCCCATCTCTTTTTTTGTTTGAATAATTTAATATATTTTAGCTTCTGATTGGCTGAAATATCTGCTTTGCTGGTGTCTCACCTGCGCCTCGTCTGTGTTTGGGAGCGGCAGGGTTCGAGGCGGTCGTCTCCTCACTGGTTTATCCTGATGAAAACCAATCAAACATGATTAGCTCCACCTCATGCAGCCTCTCTGTGGAACGTTTTAAACATTTTCCATTCTCTCTTATTGTTTGTTTGTGAAACTCACCTCTTGGTTCCCAGCAGGGCTGTTTGGCTGAGGAGCTGGGCCTTTGAACTTTCCTGCGAGTTCAGCCACAGAGCGGCGCGGCGGAGCCTCCTTCTGCAGGATGGAGGGTGAAACACAGGTAAACACCTGGTGAGAGTCTGTCCTGTTTAACTTATTGTTTCTTTGTATTAGTAGTTCTCAAACTGAGAGGGGGCATTATTGCAGGGGGGCGTAGTAGAAGTGAACTAAATACTTTTTAAAATAATAAATACTGAAGATAATGCTGAATTCTTGCAGACCTTAAAATAAACAGTAAACCACTTTAAAAGATGTAATGGCAGTAAGGTTTAATGTTGTTTGAACTGTCGAAAGGATTGGTTGGAGATTGGTTGGTTTGGGGCATAAAATCTTTCTTCACAGAAAGGGGGCCCACCAAGGAAAGTTTGAGAACCCCCTCCCTAGACCAAGCCAAAAAAAAACTACAAAAAACTACCAACAAAAGCTAATAAAAGATTGGTAAGTCATAACAATCACAAAGCTTAAATATCACTTAAGAGATGATCAAAAAAATTTTATCTTCAAGATGCAAAACAACCAGAAAATGAATAGAAAGAGTCAGAAAACGTCACAAAATGAGCAAAAAGAGAAAGATTTCAGCCATCTGATTTCTGTTTGGAGCTAAAATCCTGATTTTGGAACTTTTTCAGATTCAAGCAGGGTGGAACATCTGCTGATCTGCAACTGTGACCGTTCTGAAGCTTTTTACATTAGTACAATAATGGGATATTTTAAGCATTGACACTGTGTCTGGAGATTTGATTGGTTGGATGCTCCCTAATGGCCTTTGATGCAGACCACAGAAATTATATTAGTGGCTGAGATGCTGGAGCTTTCAATACTGCAGGAAAGGAAAAGAAAGAGAAGAGTCATAGAAAGTAAGGTTAACTCTGATGAAGCCTGAAGGATCCATGGGGCAGAGCTTTCACATAAAAACATTCCTCCTAAAAGGTTCTGATGTCTGAAAAAGACCCTCAGAATTCC